CAGACCCCCGGCTGCCCCCTCACGGGACCCCCAGCTGCCCCCTCATCACACCCCCGGCTGCCCCTCCACGGGACCCCCCGTGACCCCCTCATTCACACCCCAGCTGCCCCCTCCCCAGCCCCCCGGCTGCCCCCTCCCCAGCCCCCCGGCTGCCCCCTCACTGCCGGTCCCCGCAGGGCGCCGCAGTGGTGGGAAGGCGCCGGGTGCGGCGGCGGTGCCGCTCGGGGGGCTGGAGCCCCAGACGCCCCTCATGGCCCAGCTCCTGCACCGCTGGCAGCAGCTCTGGCTGCTGGCCCTGGACCGGCAGTACCGGCTGGAGACGGCCCTGCAGCGCCTGCGGGAGGTAGGGGGGCCCGGGGGGGCCCGGGCAGCTTCTTCCAGGGGAGGTGGGAGCACTGTGGATCCCGGGCAGCTTCTCCCGTGGGAGAGAGGGCACCCCAGGGGTCCTGCTGCCCGGGGGCTGTGGGCAACTCCTCTCGTGGGAGGTAGGTGCATTTTGGGGGCCTGGGCAGCTCCTCCCCCAAGAGGTAGGGGTGCCCTGGGGGTCCTGCTGCCCTGGGGGGTAGAGGCAGGTCCTCTCCCAGCAGGTAGGGGTGCTCTGGGGTCCCAGGCAGCTTCTCTTTTGGGAGGTGAGGACACCGTGGGGTCCCACTGCCCTGTAAGGGGCAGCTCCTCTCACTTTCGGCCCATGGGACCCCCTGGCCCCAGGTCGGATGTGAATGGGATTGGTGGGTCTCAGACCCCATCCCTGCAGCTGGGGGTCCCTGTGCCCACGGTGGGTGCACCCCGACACTGCGGAGTGGCTGCTGGAGCCCGGGCCCTCTGTGTACCCCAGAGAGGGGGCCCTGGGCAGAGACCCCCTTGCAGGCTCAGCAGGGCTGGGATCAGCCGGGCTGTGCGTCTGAGCTGAGCGTGGGGCACAGAGGGGTCACCTTGGCTGACACAGAGGGGCTTGGGGGGGTCCTGCCGGTGTGTTGATCCCCGTCTGTGCCCCCCCAAGCTGGAGGAGTTCGCGCACTTCGACTTTGGGGTCTGGAGGAAGCGCTACATGCAGTGGATCAGCCAGATGAAGTCCCGTGTCCTGGACGTTTTCCGCGGCATCGACAGGGACCAGGACGGGCGCATCAGCCAGCGGGAGTTCATCGAGGGCGTCCTCGCCTCCAGTGGGTGCCGGGGGGGCTGGAGGAGGCTGAGGGGGCTGGCACTGGGGGCTGAGGGTCCCTGTCCCCCCTCAGAGTTCCCCACCAACGTCCTGGAGATGAACGCCGTGGCCACCATCTTCGACATGAACGGCGACGGCTTCATCGACTACTACGAGTTCGTCAGTGCTCTGCACCCCAACCGGGACCCCCTGCGCCGCTCCGCCGACGCCGACCAGATCCAGGATGAGGTGGGGGGGGGGCTGGAGGGCGGGGGGCTGGAAGGGTGGGGGACCCGCCTGGGGCTGAGCTGAGCGTGGTCCCCCAGGTGAACAGGCAGGTGGCCCAGTGCAACTGTGCCAAGCGCTTCCAGGTGGAGCAGATCAGCGCCAACAGGTACCGGGTAAGTGCCGACCCGTGGGGTCTGGGCTCGGTCCGACCCCTGTGCACAGCCTGCCCTGTGCAGGGGTCCCGCAGCACCCGTGTCCCGTGGCAAGGAGGGGACACATCCCCACGGCCCAGGGAGCCCTGGCCCTGCGGGAGGCTGGTGCTGGCAGGGACCGAGGGGCCGCAGGGATGGGCAGGTCTGGGTGCTGGTGCTGCTCTGGCACCCCCTCCCCGAATCCCAGCCCTGCCGAAGCCCCCAGGCCCCACCTTGCCCTGATGTCCCTCCCCCTGCAGTTCGGGGAGTCCCAACAGCTGCGGATGGTGCGGATCCTGCGCAGCACCCTCATGGTGCGGGTGGGCGGGGGCTGGATCGCCCTGGACGAGTTCCTGGTGAAGAACGACCCCTGCAGAGGTGGGTGTGGGGGTCCCACGCCGGGCACTGGTGCAGTGGAGTCCCTGTTCCCTGTGCCCGTGGGACCAAGTGGGTCAGTGGGGGCCATGTGGGGAGCAGCCAATGGGGCTCCCCATGGTCCTGCACCGCCGGGACCCCATCGGCAGCCCCCTCACTGCCTCCGTCGTCCCCAGTGAAGGGAAGGACCAACCTGAAGATCAACGAGAAGTACCTGTCCCCGGACGCCTTCGGGACCGCCGCCAGGTGTGCGGGGAACCAGTCGGCCGCCTCCTCCAAAGTGCTGTCCCCGAGCCGCTCCAACTCCAGCCTCAGCCTCTACAGCAGCGCCTCGGCTCCCAGCAGCCCCCTGGCCAGGAAGGTGAGGGCTGTGAACCCCTCCAGAAGCTCCCCCCACGCCCCAGCCCGCCCGCCCCGGGCACTGACCCTCTCCCTCCGCAGTCGGTGCTGCGGAGGACGCGCTCCGGAGATCGGTGTCCGCGCTCCCGCGGCTCGGGGCTGCCCGACGGAGCCGAGCTGCAGTTCAGCGCGGCCGAGGAGAGCCTGGCTGCGGCACTCCCAGGTGAGCGCTGGGCCGCCCCGGGGGGCAGGGGGTCGGGGGGCACAGGGGGCCGGAGCGGGTGTGCTGTTGGGGGGCAGGGCAGCGGGGCTGGTGCGGGAGAACTCCCCGCTCCAGCCCCTCCGTGCCCTCGCAGAGCCGCCCGAAGGGTCCCCCCCGGAGCGCTGCAGCCCCTGCCGCTGACCCCCGCGCCCGCCCTGCGCCAGCACCCTCGGCCGGCCCCACTCAGGACCCTCCTCCCCGAGGCTGGAGGACGGCGAAGCCGCTGCCGTGCGCCCCGCGGGGCTCCGGCCCGGCGCTGCGGCTCCCCGAGCGGGGCTGAGCCGTCTGTCCGTCACCGAGCCCGCCGGGACCGGCCCCGGAGGATATGCAAGTACCCCCCGACACCCTCCAAGCCCCCGGGCACTGGCCCCCTTCCCCACGGCTCCACCGGGCAGCGCGGGGGGGGCCCGAGCCCCCGCGCCCCTCTCCGAGTGCCCGGGGCTGCGGGTCCGGCCGGGCATCCATCCCCGCGCTGGGCCCCGCGCCTCTCCCCGCCGCCGGCTCGGAGTGGCCGCGGTGTCCCCCGGCATTTGGCGTTGCTGACGGGGGTCCCCCCCCTGCTGCCCACGCCCCGGCGGGAGGTGGCCGGGCTCGGTACCCGGGCCCCGGGCCCCCGTTTCTGGTGCTAACCCTCA